TCTGTGGCATATATGGTATCTGTGGCATCTGTGGCATCGGTGGTACCTGTGGCATCTGTGGTATCTGTGTTATCTGTGGCATCTGTGGCATCGGTGGTATCTGTGGCATATGTGGTATCTGTAGTATCTATGGCATCTGTGGTATCTGTGGTATCTGTGGCGTCTGTGGCATCTGTGGTATCGGTGGCATCTGTGGCATCGGTGGTATCTGTGGCATCTGTGGCATCTGTGGCATCTGTGGTATCTGTGGTATATGTGGCATCTGTGGCATCTGTGGTATATATGGCATCTGTGGCATCTGTGGCATCGGTGGTACCTGTGGCATCTGTGGTATCTGTGACATCTGTGGCATCTGTGGTATCGGTGGTATCTGTGGTATCTGTGGTATCGGTGGCATCTGTGGCATCGGTAGTACCTGTGGCATCTGTGGTATCTGTGTTATCTGTGGCATCTGTGGCATCGGTGGTATCTGTGGCATCTGTGGTATCTGTGGCATCTGTGTCATCGGTGGTATCTGTGTTATCTGTGGTATCTGTGTTATCTGTGGTATCTGTGGTATCTGTGGAGAACTTATGCACTTGAAGACTGCTTCAGAAATCTGCAAATAATTTTCTGTTTATTCACTTCCAACAAACAAAATGCACTCAAAAACAGTTTCAGATTACATTCAGCCATTCACTCATTAGCCGGTGCCGGTAACCTACACTGAAGCCAGAGCTGTCCTAGGGCAGACTGACAGGATACACACAGTGAGTGTCACTGGCCACCATCAGAGGACCAGTTGGGTGGAGTGTCTTGCCAAAGGACATAACTGAAGCAGACAGAATTAGAATTTGAACCAGCAATCTGCCAGTTATCTCTGCCCCCTGAGTTACTGTCACTGAGGTGAAAAATGATGGCTAACCCCCAGGGATGGCAGCACTGCTCTTTTATGCCTGAAACAATTATAAAGAAATTCTTGAGCTGCATCAACAGCTAGAACCCGCTCCTCTTGCTACCTTCAGCTGTACCAGCAGTTTGGCAGCAGGGCTGCCAAAGTTTTCTCTAAACTGGAGATAGACAGAATGGGTGGACTGGGGCTGACCAAGACCCCAGAGGTGGTGAGATCACTGCATGTACAAATATCCTGCAGATTTGGTGTGCCCTACTGCAGTCACAGCATTTTCAGCACATCAAGCTGAAATCTTAGAGTGATCTCCTCCCTCTCTCCTCTAGGGGGAGCAGCACAAAGCATGGTCATGTGATAGTCATATGGTTAAATTTGTCAGGTCAAAGTCACCAAGAGAAAACTGATATCATGATCCAACCAAAGGTCTATTCCGGCTGGCTTTGCTCTGAGTGAAAAACCCTGTAATACACACACAAACACACGCGCGCACACACCTACACACACACAAACACACCTGGAGTTGTTTCCTACCTCCTCTTGGAAGAGGTTCTGTCTGTTTTTTAGAGCTCTCAGCCGGTTCTGCTTGTCTTCATGGTCCAGGTGATCTTCAGGTGGTTGGAAGTAGCCAATCAGATCTTGTAGACTCAGACTGACTGAGTCTATGGGAAGATCTAAAGTAGAACTTTTTCCTTTCTTTCTCACTGTGTCCAGACCTCTGCAGATTCCATAGAACAGAATGTCTTTAATGAAATCAGTCCAATGTACAGTTCTGGTTATAGAATAAACTGTAAAGCTCAGACTGACTGACTGACTGACAAGTAATTCATGGGAACTGCCTTGGACTTAAAAATAACTGCTTTAAATCTCTTTTTCTGTCTTCATGTGTAGTAAATGGGTTCAACTCAGGGGTTAAGAGGTTCCCACTAGTGCAGTATTTCTGTATCCTGAGCAGAATGACTGGCACACTGTTGGGACTCCCTTCCATCAGTAGATGGAGAGACATGTTACTTTTGGAGTTTTGCAAGTTTGTGCACATATGCTACTTCCTAATACTGTCACATTGATTATGTTCCTGTACTTCATAACATTTGTTTACATCTCTTCATGTTTGAAGGGATTATGATCTGAACTGAAGTTTTCTTGAATTCATCAGGATTTTCTTGTCACACAATCTTTTGGAGAAGAAAAAGGCTGCTTCTACATCAAGCTAAAATCTGGCTCTGATGTGCTTATCAAAAATCAAGCTATTGTGCCCTTATACCTCTAGGAGGAGACATTCCCTCTTAAATTAGAGGACATTGCACACAACACTCTAATGCAGTGTTTTTCAACCTTTTTTGAGCCAAGGTACATTGTTTTAATTGAAAAAATCCAGAGGCACACCACCAACCAAAATTGTAAACAAAGATGCTCCGTAGCCGCCTATATTACATATATAGTCATTCTTATCAAACTGTCTTGAATAGGAATCAAATAAACACAAAATTAATTTTTTTTTATCATATTTTACAATTCTTTTTTCAAATTGCACTTAACATGTCCACTTCAAAAATACACCAGAACAGTGCCACAACACTGNATTTGATGGGACACATATCTGTAATTACAACTTAAGATGTTTTGAACCTAATTATGACTAGTCAAAATTATATTTTTAGATATCTGAATGAAGAACCCCTTAGTGCTGCTACTGAGCTATCCAAACGGTTACCTGCACAATTTTAGGTTTCCCGCACAAAATTATCAGAAAATGCCACAATGTAGAAAGAGCAGCAGTGTGCCATCTGTGGTATCTGTGGCATCTGTGGTATCTGTGGCATATGGGGCATCTGTGGCATCGGTGGTATCTGTGGCATATGTGGTATCTGTAGTATCTGTGGCATCTGTGGTATCTGTGGTGTCTGTGGCATCTGTGGTATCTGTGGCATCTGTGGCATATGTGGTATCTGTGGTATCTGTGGTATCTCTGGCATCTGTGGTATCTGTGGCATCTGTGGTATCTGTGGCATCGGTGGTACCTGTGGCATCTGTGGCATCTGTGGTATATGTGGCATCTGTGGTATCTGTGGCATCTGTGGCATCTGTGGCATCTGTGGTATCTGTGGTATATGTGGCATCTGTGGCATCTGTGGTATATATGGCATCTGTGGCATCTGTGGTATATATGGCATCTGTGGTAACTGTGGTATCTGTGGCATCTGTGGTATCTG